CATGTGGCCAGTAGGGCCGCTGCTGGCCGCGCTGCCCTGCCAGGTCGTCGTCTCCCAGGCCTGCATCTGGGGCGGCTGCGCAGCGTCCCAGGCGGCACCCTCCGTAGGGACCGCGGGATCCGCCCTCGGCGTCAGTGGCACAGCCGTAACGCCCATGGGACCAGCGCGCGCCGCCTCCACTGCTCCCACAGCGGGCTGGGCTGGCGCATGGGTCCCTGGCGCCCCAGGAGGATTGGCAGCGGCCTGCTGCATCGCGGGCGGGATCTCCACTCCACTGGCCTGCATCTTGTGCATCGCGTTGACGCTGAGCAAGTGTTGCACCTGCGCTTGCATGCGCTGCATGTCCTCTTGCTGCTGGGCGATCATGCGTTGCTGCTGCTGCATCACATCGGTATTGACTTGGGCGGGCGTCATCTGGCTGAGCTGCTCGCGCTGGTTCATCGTGTGCGCTACCATCTGTGCAATCTCGGTCGAGCCCTTGCCCATCGCTTTGCCCTTGGCAATCATCTGCTGCATGTTGTGCGCATCCTGTGTGAAAGGCCACGTCGGTGGGCTCATCATTCCAGCACTTGCAGTCGTCGCAGCGGGCGAAGTCTGCGCTGGGGGCGGACCAGCAGGCGGTGGCACGGGCGGCTGCTGTCCTGGCATCTGCTGCGGTGGCATCTGCTGCTGCCCAGTCATCTGCGGTGGCATCTTCTGCTGCCCTGGCATCTGCTGCTGTCCTGGCATCTGCAAGAACCCTGTCATTGGCTGCTGCCCTGGCATCTGCTGGCGTGGCACCGCCTGCTGCCCTGGTATCTGCAGCTGCCCTGGCATCTGCTGCATCATGTGGTGCTGCTGGGTTCCCGCGTGGAACTGCGGCTGCGGCGGCAGCGGCATACCGAACGCGTGCGGTACCCCCTGGGGCGGCATGCCCTGGGGCCCCTGGCACCCAGCAGCAAGTCCCTGTGGCGACGAGAATACACCACCAGCTAGCATGTCGGTATCGCCCTCTTGCAACTGGCGAATAGTAGTTTCCAATCCATTTATTTATTCCAAGCACTTGGCCTCGTCCTCTTTGGCCTCCTGAACTTTCTTCTGAAAAGTGACAAGCCTCTCCTTGGCCTTGATCAGGGCCAGCTTGGCTGTGTTCACTTGCTTCTCCGTGCCACCCAGGGTGGTCATCATGTGCTTGATCCAACTGATCTCCTCTTCTGCCTGCGGGTCTGAACGGTCGAGCTTGGCCATGACTTTGATAAGTTGGCCTAACTGATATAGCTTTCTGCGCATATCCTGTCGCCAGATCATCAGCCTGTTGTCGTCCTCGGGCGGTGGGGCGAGGCTGTTCTTGAACTGGTGCATGGCCGCCATCTCGGGCGTCATCGGCGGAACACGTTTGATGATCCGTTCCACATCTGGGTCCCCATTGGAGCCCTCCGCGCGTGGCTTGCGCGACTGGCCGTTGGACCTTGGGCGCCCGCCTGGGACGCGATCTCCAGCAGGGCGATCTCGACCACATCGACACTTGTTGTAGCGATTGTAGTTCCATCTGTTGCAGCTCGTACACGTCCATGAATCTGCAGGGGCTTCCTTTGGCATCTGGCGGCTATGATGGCTCTCCAATGTGTCCACCGCAGCGGCCACGGCGACTAGAAGTCGCGCCTGGTGCCGCTTCTTGCGAAAGCGGCGGTGCCAAGAAGGTTCAGGCAGGCGGCGCAAGTGGCGCCGCTCGGGAGAAACAGACGTGGCTGGTATGATGGTACAATATCAAACCCAAAACCAGCGCGCAATCAGGGCCAACCTCTGCCCCCTTGAGAGGTCAACGCCTCTCCTCCTCCTCCTCCTCCTCCTCCTCATCCTCCTCCTCCTCCTCCTCCTCCTCCTCCTCCTCCTCCTCCTCCTTATCCTCCTCATCCTCCTCACCTCCTCCTCCTCCTCCTCCATCCTCCCTCCTCCTCCTCCTCCTCCTCCTCCTCCTCTCCTCCTCCTCCTCCTCCTCCTCCTCCTCCTCCTCCTCCTCCTCCTCCTCCTCCTCTCCTCCTCCTCCTCCTCCTCCTTCCTCCTTCCTCCCCTCCTCGACTCCTCCTCCTCCTCCTCCTCCTCCTCCTCCTCCTCCTCCTCCTCCTCCTCTCCTCCTCATCCTCCTCCTCCTCCTCCTCCTCCTCCTCTCCTCCATTCCTCCTCCTCCTAAGACTCCTCCTCCTCCTCCTCCTCCTCCTCCTCCTCCTCCTCCTCCTCCTCCTCCTCCTCCTCCTCCTCCTCCTCCTCCTCCTCGGGCGTCCTCCTCCTCCTCCTCCTCATCTCCTCCTCCTCTCTCCCTCCTCCTCTCCTCCGCCGCCGCCGCACCGCCGCGCGACCGCCGCCGCCGCCGCCGCCGCCGCCGCCTCGCCGCCGCGCCGCCGCCGCCGCCGCCGCCCGCCGGGGCCGCCGCCGCCCGCCGCCGCCGCCCGGCCGCCGCCGCCGCCGGCCGCCGCCGCCGCCGCGCCCCCCGCCGCCGCCCCGCCCCGCCGCCGCCGCCGCCGCCCGGCCGCGCCGCCGCCGCCGCCGCCGCCGCCGCCGCCGCCGCCGCCGCCGCCGCCGCCGCCGCCGCCGCCGCCGCGGTGGTACAAGGGTAGGTGGTCGGTGGTTGTGGACAGCCCGTCGAACGCATGGTCGACCTCCACATTCCTGACGCAACCAAAGAGAGGCTCATCCAACAAAACATAGTCATTTCTGTGTTTACTTCCGTCATTATGCACAAAGGTGTAATCATCGCGTGTGCCGTGATGTGTGTTGGCTGGGTATAAGTTAAACTCCGAACAGGTGCGATGGAGACAATCGCCTGGATAGTCCTGGGGCTGTACAAATCCTTCGTCGCCAATCCATTGGCTGACGACTGACCCCACGTGGGCGTTGGCATCAATCATCGAAATACGGGGTTTCCAACGCTCAATTAGCTGATCGAGGCGGGTCCAGAAATTGTCAACAGCAACTTTCCCCTGACGGATGTGGGGGGCATGGGCGACAAGCAACGGCACCTGATCTCCCCCCACCCGCATAACCGCAATCAGGACTCGAGGGTCAGCATGCACGAGTCGGACATCTTCTTTGGTGACCTTTATTTCCTGGCTGGTGCCCTTGACTCCAAAGGGGAGCTCCAAATTGATCCAAAGTTCAACACCGAAGCCATCAGCAGAATACCCACTGGCAAGGGCAAGAAAATCTCCTACCCTGCGGGGACCACGGGGGTTCCATGACTCTTGAATCCCTGCAACATGGACGGCAGCCTCCTGGAGCTGAGTGGCCAAGCTGTGATTGCGCGTCTGACGCTTCCGCCCACGGGCGCCTGCGGTCTCACGCTCAGATGCGGACTTACAGTTAAACTGGGCAACTGTAACAGTGAGAGAGACATCGGGCACAGAAGAGGGAGCATAGACGTCAGGAACCTGGAAGCCCTGGACATCCTCCTCGGCAGCACGGGTGTCTATATCCTGTGTGATCCAATCTGGGCCCTGGGGAGGGGGAAACATGGAACGAACATGGGGTTCAGCAAGCTCAAGCCATTCCCACTGCCTGGAGTGGTGGTATTCAGTCGCTTGAGACCATGCCTCTGGTATTCTAGTGGGGGGGATCTTACCCTGCATCGTGCTTGATGCCAGAAAGTCGGCAAAGCTGTTCCACGGGTGGTCAGAGTGACCCTTCACGTGCTCAATCAAAACAGAACAGGAGGCTGTGAGGGTATCAAAGATGGCAAGCGCGACAAGTGCAATCTGATCATTGGGGTTGGGGGAATACACCCTGGTGAGAGTGCGCACTGCTACCTCGGAATCACTAAAAAAAGCAGCCTGGGGGGTGCCAGAGACAAGTGCATCTAGCATGGCAAAGCATAGCGCTGCGCATTCACAATCGGTGGACGTGGTGCCTCGGGCTGAGGGGGGGGCACGAAAGGAGGAGGAAAGTCTTCCACATAAGTACCCTTGGTATGACTGTTGTCCTTCGTATTCGGCAAGGCGCAGAAGCGCCCAAGCCGCCGTGTCATCTTTGCCCTCGATAAGAGATCCATCCGTGTAGTAGATACTGTAATTGCTTCCCCTGTCGTGATCACATGACGGTGGATGCTGATACACTGCCCACGCAGATACAGTGGGTAGGCCCTGCAGATGCTGAAACTGACGCATAGCAGGGCGAGAAGAGCGAGCAGCACATGCAAGCACCGATTCAATGCGAGAGTGAACAATTTTACGACGCATTCGCTCCATGTTGGCCTCAGGGGGTGTTCCACTGGGGTGTCCTTCCAAGAGTTGACTGAAGGGGACCTCCAAAGGCTGGGCGGGGATGCTGGGCGAAGCCGCTGTGTATTCGCACACCTCCTGCGCAGAGGTAGAGGTCAAGGTGGGGCTCGCACTGCCCCCATCTCGCCAAAATGAATTCGAGGGCGAGGGGGCAACTAGTCCTGGGCTCAAACAGCCCTCATCACTTCCAGGGTAAGTTGGCAGCCCCTCATCCTCAAGTTGAAACGCAACCCTACGAACACTCGAGGCACCCCTATGCCCAGGGGTGAGGGGGGAGCCGAGGCAAGGGGAGGAGGCCGAACCCAAAATGGGACGAGGGGGCCTCGAGTGGCCGTCTGGCCCCGACGATTGCCAGCTGGCAGTCGTCTGATCAATCACAGAGCAGTGTGAGCTGGCTGCCCACTGGCAGGCTCTGGAACTTGAAAGAGCACAGGCCCCTGGTCTTTCGGACCGATCGGCCTCAGGAGGCCTTGGCAATCCGGCCCTGGACGGATCCCGAGGCGCCGACCCAAATCCCAAGGTCGGAAAATCAAACGAGCAGGCACTAGCAGGCACCTTATAGCCCAAGGTGCCGTGGCTAACAGTACAAATATCCTGGAGATTTTCCCCACCCTCCTGGGAAGCCAAGGCCCGAGGCGTCCAAGAAAGAGGGGTGGGGGACGGGGATCCAGGAGAAAAACAAACGTAGTATTAGGGCCGCTACAGGCAGCCTCATCACGCGCTGTCAGGTCTTCTAAATGTCGTCGACGCATTTCGACTTGTGAGGCGGCGACTCCCCCGTGACGAAGGTGTCCCTCCTCTCCTTGGCTTCCTCCCTCGGGGGCCCGTGGCTGAGGTTCGTCTTGATCGCACCCCTCTCCGCTAGCTCGTTGATAGCTGTTTGAAACTGCGAGTCCGTGGGCAGCGAGGATGACGAGAGCGTGTCCTCCGTGACCGACAGAGCTGGACCTGGCATCAGCTCTTCCTGCGTCATCTTCTGGGTCGGGTCGAGCGGCTCCACGTACGGCGTCGGAGAGCCAGTCACAGTCATTGCCCCAGGTGGTGTCTTGGGCACTGGTACTTCGCCAGGCGTCGGCGCAGCACCAAGTGGGGTCATGGGCCCTGGCACATGACCTGGGGGCGGTCCTGGTGGCGACGACGGGGCTGGCTTGCCTCCTGCCACTGGCGGCATCGCTGGTGGGGCCGTCATGCCCCCTGGCATGTGGCCAGTAGGGCCGCTGCTGGCCGCGCTGCCCTGCCAGGTCGTCGTCTCCCAGGCCTGCATCTGGGGCGGCTGCGCAGCGTCCCAGGCGGCACCCTCCGTAGGGACCGCGGGATCCGCCCTCGGCGTCAGTGGCACAGCCGTAACGCCCATGGGACCAGCGCGCGCCGCCTCCACTGCTCCCACAGCGGGCTGGGCTGGCGCATGGGTCCCTGGCGCCCCAGGAGGATTGGCAGCGGCCTGCTGCATCGCGGGCGGGATCTCCACTCCACTGGCCTGCATCTTGTGCATCGCGTTGACGCTGAGCAAGTGTTGCACCTGCGCTTGCATGCGCTGCATGTCCTCTTGCTGCTGGGCGATCATGCGTTGCTGCTGCTGCATCACATCGGTATTGACTTGGGCGGGCGTCATCTGGCTGAGCTGCTCGCGCTGGTTCATCGTGTGTGTGCGCTACCATCTGTGCAATCTCGGTCGAGCCCTTGCCCATCGCTTTGCCCTTGGCAATCATCTGCTGCATGTTGTGCGCATCCTGTGTGAAAGGCCACGTCGGTGGGCTCATCATTCCAGCACTTGCAGTCGTCGCAGCGGGCGAAGTCTGCGCTGGGGGCGGACCAGCAGGCGGTGGCACGGGCGGCTGCTGTCCTGGCATCTGCTGCGGTGGCATCTGCTGCTGCCCAGTCATCTGCGGTGGCATCTTCTGCTGCCCTGGCATCTGCTGCTGTCCTGGCATCTGCAAGAACCCTGTCATTGGCTGCTGCCCTGGCATCTGCTGGCGTGGCACCGCCTGCTGCCCTGGTATCTGCAGCTGCCCTGGCATCTGCTGCATCATGTGGTGCTGCTGGGTTCCCGCGTGGAACTGCGGCTGCGGCGGCAGCGGCATACCGAACGCGTGCGGTACCCCCTGGGGCGGCATGCCCTGGGGCCCCTGGCACCCAGCAGCAAGTCCCTGTGGCGACGAGAATACACCACCAGCTAGCATGTCGGTATCGCCCTCTTGCAACTGGCGAATAGTAGTTTCCAATCCATTTATTTATTCCAAGCACTTGGCCTCGTCCTCTTTGGCCTCCTGAACTTTCTTCTGAAAAGTGACAAGCCTCTCCTTGGCCTTGATCAGGGCCAGCTTGGCTGTGTTCACTTGCTTCTCCGTGCCACCCAGGGTGGTCATCATGTACTTGATCCAACTGATCTCCTCTTCTGCCTGCGGGTCTGAACGGTCGAGCTTGGCCATGACTTTGATAAGTTGGCCTAACTGATATAGCTTTCTGCGCATATCCTGTCGCCAGATCATCAGCCTGTTGTCGTCCTCGGGCGGTGGGGCGAGGCTGTTCTTGAACTGGTGCATGGCCGCCATCTCGGGCGTCATCGGCGGAACACGTTTGATGATCCGTTCCACATCTGGGTCCCCATTGGAGCCCTCCGCGCGTGGCTTGCGCGACTGGCTGTTGGACCTTGGGCGCCCGCCTGGGACGCGATCTCCAGCAGGGCGATCTCGACCACATCGACACTTGTTGTAGCGATTGTAGTTCCATCTGTTGCAGCTCGTACACGTCCATGAATCTGCAGGGGCTTCCTTTGGCATCTGGCGGCTATGATGGCTCTCCAATGTGTCCACCGCAGCGGCCACGGCGACTAGAAGTCGCGCCTGGTGCCGCTTCTTGCGAAAGCGGCGGTGCCAAGAAGGTTCAGGCAGGCGGCGCAAGTGGCGCCGCTCAGGAGAAACAGACGTGGCTGGTATGATGGTACAATATCAAACCCAAAACCAGCGCGCAATCAGGGCCAACCTCTGTCCCCTTGAGAGGTCAACGCCTCTCCTCCTCCTCCTCCTCCTCCTCCTCCTCCTCCTCCTCCTCCTCCTCCTCCTCCTCCTCCTCCTCCTCCTCCTCCTCCTCCCCTCTCCTCCTCTCCTCCTCCTCCTCCCTCCTCCTCCTCCTCCTCCTCCTCCTCCCTCCTCCTCCTCCTCCTCCTCCTCCTCCTCCTCCTCCCCTCCTCCTCCTCCTCCTCCTCCTCCTCTCTCCTCCTCCTCCTCCTCCCCTCCTCCTCCTCCTCCTCCTCCTCCTCCTCCTCCTCTCCTCCCCTCCTCCTCCTCCTCCTCCTCCTCCCCTCCTCCCCCTCCTCCTCCTCCTCCTCCTCCCCTCCTCCTCCTCCTCCTCCTCTCCTCCTCCTCCTCCTCCTCCTCCTCCTCCTCCTCCTCCTCCTCCTCCTCCTCCTCCTCCTCCTCCTCCTCCTCCTCCTCCTCCTCCTCCTCCTCCTCCTCCTCCTCCTCCTCCTCCTCCTCCTCCTCCTCCTCCTCCTCCTCCTCCTCCTGGGCACAGCCTGGGGCGCCACAGAGTCTATGGTGCCTCAGCAGGACCTCGAACGCGGCTAGGGGCGCACCTTGCAACCGCCAGTAGCCGCGCCCATCGGACACACTCCGCGCCGTGCGCGGGGCCGAGGAGATGCGGTGCGAGGGTCACTAACGGCGCAACGCCGGGCAGTCCCCACTCGCACCGCACCCCCCGCTGGCCATTGACAAGGATTAGGGCTCTGGGAGCAGGCGATAACCTGCATACCTCAGAACCCTCTTGGCAAAACAGAACTCGCCCCGTCTCAATCGTTCCAGGATAAGGCGACGATCCTTCGAAAGATGACGGGGCTGGCACTCACTCGCAAGAGACACCACGCGCTGGGTGGTGCATGCAGCGCAGTGAGTGCAACAAAACACTTGGGTTTCGCCCACGAACAGCGAGGCCACACGATGATGCTTGGACCCAGCGGCCTTCAGGGAGACCTGAGCCTGCTGGATCCTTTGCTCTAGGGTGGGCGGCTCTGGCTTGACAATGATTAGGGAGGGGGCTGAACGTGCAGAGCGCTGGCGGTGCAAACAGTCTACAGATGCAATGGCCTCACCCGCCCTGGCGGCCCATTTCCCCGTAAGACTGACCATTCTCTTCTGCAACAACGTAAGCTTCTGAAACTGGGGATCGGGCCGCAGGACACGAGCACGACTGTACGCAGCACCGTCGGCGGCATCATTTCCAAGTTTGTCTCGGAGCTTATACCTCCCCTCCACAACCTGAACATCTGTCACGTGGGCTTTCACTTTCTTTACCTCAGGGGGGGTACCCCCCCAGTCATCGACTTTGTGCCATACGAGCTTCCACAGACAGGCCCAAGCCGCCTCCTCCTCCTCCTCCTCCTCCTCCTCCTCCTCCTCCTCCTCCTCCTCCTCCTCCTCCTCCTCCTCCTCCTCCTCCTCCTCCTTCCTCCTCCTCCTCCTCCTCCTCCTCCTCCTCCTCCTCCTCCTCCTCCTCCTCCTCCTCCTCCTCCTCCTCCTCCTCCTCCTCCTCCTCCGCCTCCTCCTCCTCCTCCTCCTCCTCCTCCTCCTCCTCCTCCTCCTCTCCTCCTCCTCCTCCTCCTCCTCCTCTCCTCCTCCTCCTCCCTCCCTCCTCCTCCTCCTCCTCCTCCTCCTCCTCCTCCTCCTCCTCCTCCTCCTCCTCCTCCTCCTCCTCCTCCTCCTCCTCCCCTCCTCCTCCTCCATCCTCCTCCTCCTCCTCCTCCTTCCTCCTCCTCCTCCTCCCTCCTCCTCCTCCTCCTCCCTCCTCCTCCTCCTCCTCCTCCTCCTCCTGGGCACAGCCTGAGGCGCCACAGAGTCTATGGCACTTCAGCACGACCAACAGTGTGGCTAGGGGCGCACCTTGCAACCGCCATTAGCCACACCCATCGGACAACAGGCAAGGATTAGGGCTCTGGGAGCAGGCGATAGCCTGCGTACCTCTGAACCCTCTTGGCCAAACAGTACTCTCCCCGTCTCAATCGATCGAGGACAAGGCGACGATCCTTCGAGAGATGACGGGGCAGGCACTCACTCGCAAGAGACACCACGCGCTGGGTGGTGCATGCAGCGCAGTGAGTGCAACAGAAAATCTGGGTTTCACCCACAAAGAAAGACGCCACCCGATGATGCTTGGACCCAGCGGCCTTCAGAGACGCCTGAGACTGCTGGATCCTTTGCTCTAGGGTGGGGGGCTCTGGCTTGACAATAATTAGGGAGGGGGCTGAACGTGCAGAGCGCTGACGGTGCAGACAGTCAACAGAAGCTATGGCCTCACCCGCCCTGGCGGCCCATTTCCCCGTAAGACTGACCATCTTCCTCTGCATCATAGTAAGCTTCAGAAACTGGGGATAGGGCCGCAGGTCACGAGCACGACTCCTCGCAGCACCGTCAGCGGCATCATTTCCAAGTTTATCCCGAAGCTTATACCTCCCCTCCGCTATCATGGTGTCGGTCACGTGGGCTTTCACTTTTTTGACCTCAGGGGGGGTTCCCCCCCAATCGTCGATTTTGTGCCAAACAAGCTTCCAAAGACAAGCCCAGGCTGCCGACGACGACGTGGTGTCGGCTGGTCCGCGGATATTGTAGCCTTTCCACACAAAATCAGAATCCGTGTGCAAGACAACTGGTGGCACAGCAAACCTGAGCACTGCAAGCAGGGCGTAAAGTTCAGCACCGTCTATGTCCTGCAGCGGGTAGGGCAGGAGACCAGTGATGGTGCAGACAGCATTGCCACTGTCGGCGGCCAGCGCGACGACTGCCCAGGCAGCAATCCCGCGATGCGGATAATCAATAAACAAGGATCCATCAAGATACAGATCCCCTGTGAGCTGATGCGCATCCCCGTGCCATTCCACACAAGGCTCCAACGGCATCTGCACCACTGCCTGAGGGGCCTTGGGGAGCGGGACAAGCATACGCTCCAGCATCAGGCGCACCAGGTCATTCTGGTCCGCATGCGGGAGCATGAGTCTGATTGCATCGGGGAGTGGCTCTCCTATTGCCTCGAGCATGCTCTTACACACGGCGCGCCGGTGCACGAGGGTACCAGGGGCCCCTTGGCATGCAAGGCAACTCGGGGAGTCAATCCAACCTTGTAGAAATTGCCGATCTTGGGGCCGCTGAGCTCCAATGATAGCACTCCTGAGGTAACCACGCTGCTGCCAAGTGAGGTTCCCCTTGGCGCTCAGGAGGTACTTCAGAGGCCCATCCCAAAAACCAGTACGGAACTCAGGCATCTGAAGGTGCTCCGAAATCTGCAGGTTGACCCAGTGGCGCACCGCATGCGCACAACAGTGAAGGAGGACCCTGGGGCAGATGTCGGTGAGTTTCAGCTCCAGACCATCAGGCAGCTTCCAAACCAGGGGCTCGACGACGACGATCCCGACTCTGGTGAGCGTAGCATAAAGGGCTCCCGAGGGTCCCCGAACCTGCGGCCACATTTGGTCCTTCCCAGACAGCGCCAATCTAGCAGCCTCAAGGCCATGCTCTAAGACATGACGTGGCACCCGCGACGCCCAAAGAACAGAGCTGAATGCTTTGATAGGCTCCAGCGTAGCCCTCCAGATCGGGTCGTAGTTGGCCTGCGGCGCGAGCGCGAGAGCAAGAGTGCGGCTCTTGCCGCTGGTCTTGGCGTCGAGCGCCGCAGCGGCCTGGGAACGCAACACGTCCAGCTCCTTAGAGGCAGTACCCTGAACAGAGGTCCCAAAAGCAACCGAAGTCTCCAACGCCGCCCTGGCCATGATGGCCATGGTTTTTCGCCTGGCCATACCTCCCTGGAGATGTTTCATTCTCTTGAGCTTGGGTTTGGCGACTTTAATTCTGCCCGTCCTGGTGGTCCTCCTGAGAAACCGTCCTGAACTGTAGTCGACCCCCAAGTTGCGCTCGTGATTCACGCCTTGGGCCCTAAGCGATACTAGCCTCCTGGACAGCTGGTCACGTAAGTCAGAGTCACTAGCAAGAACACGCGTCTTGTCAAGAGCGAGTCGTAGATCCACTCGCTGAAGCTCGCGCTGAAGCTTCACTCCAGCGCCAGCTACATCAGCAACAACACGGCCGTGTTCCCCCGA